AAGAGCAGCTAGACTTCTTAAAGGCTGTGCTATGTCTCCAGCCTTGTCCTTTTATTTTATGTTTTTAATTTAATTAAAATATAATTTCATCAATAACCCCTTACCTCTCCTATGCCTCCCCTTACTCCCTCTCAGATTCTGGGCTCTTTTCTCTTTCATTACTACTGTTACATATATCTTTATCGCCTCATTTATTTCCACTCTATCTTGTTAGTAGTTAATTGCCTCTTAAATCTTTCTAGTAATCCATCATTATTTCAACCCCTCCCCCCATGTGTGTCCCTCATCCTTTGCCTACCCTCATTCTCTCCCTTTGCCCTCTCTCATCTTGGAATCAAGCCTGGGGTCCTGCATATGCATACAATGAGCAAGTACTGTAGCATTGAGCTCTCCCTAGGTCTTAACAACCTCATTTGTTGGTTTTGAGGCAGATTCTCACATACTCCATATTGGCCTTGAACTCCTAATCTTCCTGTCTCCACTTCCTGAATTCCAGGATTACAAACATGTACTGCCACTCCTAATTTTTGCTTGCTTGTTTGTTTTTATGTGGTACTGGGGATGAAGTCTTATGTATGCTAGACAAGTGCTCTTGAAACCAACTGAGCCATATCTCCAGCCTGTCTCGTGTTTTGCTGTTACTGTTTATAGTCATTTCCCTCTTTATCAAGCCAGAAAAATTGGTTATCTTTCACTTTTCATTACATGGTGGGCTGGTGTCCAGCATATTTATCAAGTACATTCATCTCTTAACTTTGGTATTTTACTCTATTACTTCCTAGTTCTGCCATTTTCTACATGCGCAAACTTGAATATCTGCCATTTTCTACATGCGCAAACTTGAACAACTACGTAATTTATATTCCATTATTTTTTTATACTATAGTCATCTCCACAGGTTACACATTGTAAGATTCCCTGAAACGTCCTGTGTATGGATAGTAGTGAAACTATCTGTGTATGTATACCTTGTTTTTTTCTAGGTATATGTAACTATGATAAACCTTAACTTATCAGTGAGGAATAGTAAGATACAATATTAATAGAAAGCTCATAACAATATATTATAATATTTTTATGTGTTTTTCAATATAATTTATGGAACATCCACCTTTTCTTTTAAAGGATTCACCTTATGGTTTCCCTTTGCTAGCAAAGGGGACTTTTTAAAGTAAAACACAGTTCAGTTGAATACAAGTACTGTAACACAGGACAACCGATCTCATAACCAGCATGGAACTTGTATCATTTACAACAGGGACACAACTCAGGTGAGGTGGGCCTGGGAAGCTTGTGACCTCACACTATTCAATATGATGATTAATTTAAAACTAAAGAAGTTTTAGGAAATATTTCTGGAATTCCATATGTGAGATATATATTTTTAACAAGGTTGGCTGAATAGCAGGTCAGTCAGAAAGCAGAACCACAATAAGAAAGCATTGTTACATTGCAAATTCAAGTTGTAGACCATTGCCTCACTTTGTGATGTAACCTTCAGAGGTTTTCACATAAATGTGGCTAGAACATACAAATGAAAATTAAAGTGTTATAAATTCAAGTTGAGACTTTCCCCCAAAGACTTAATACTTCCCTCTTTCTTGAAAACAGCCCAACTTTGTATAGTATGTTGCTTTTGCACTCATGATACAATATAAACTAAGATGATCTTCTTCAGTGTTTCCCTCATTCAAGGCTATTGAGATCTTTCCACTTCTTGAAATCTCATCCAAGTGTCCTAGCTTCTAGTAATTATTTCTCACATTGAACTGATAAAATGCTTATTTCATGTGTTCATACCATCGTGTACCATTTGTCTCGTGGATGTATTTTAGTTATTTATCTGTCTCTTCTTTGGGTAAAATACTTTGTCTTACACTACTCAGTTTCTAATCCTGCATACCATACCTGTGTAAAGCTTTTAAGATTGATTCGTACAGAGAGACACGTAAATATGCATGCACATGGATCTGTCATAGAAACTAGCCTCTGGGTATTCATTATATCTAACTACAAAGTTTAAATGGCTATTTTCTTAAAAGTCTCTAAATCTTTGGGGCTGATTAGATGTCTCGGTGAGTCAAGGTGCCTATACCCATTAATGGCCTTCTAGAGCCTCCTTTAGGGGTGAATCCTTGAGAGAATTATTTTTATGAAACAAATATTAATAGGTTTATAAGCCAGGTGGTGGCGGTGTGCACCTATAATCTCAGCACCTAGGAGGCAAAGGAAGGTGGATCTCTGAGATCAAGGCCAGCCCGGTCTACAAAGGGAGTTCCAGGACAGCCAGGGCTACCCCAAGAAGCCCTTTCTCTAACCTTCCCCTGGCCCCTACAAAAAATGAAGAAAGAAAGAATTACGCTTTTAGTATAAACATTATGAGTTTGTCTTTTTCTGAAGAATATTAGGCATAATATCTGTTTTCGTATACAAATTTCATTTACCCCCACAGTAACTTTCTTTAGAAAACCTTTTAAGGAACATCTGCTTTGGCCAATAACCCAACTTCTGAGCTTATCTTAGATGCCTTAGAGCAGCTCACTACAGGATGGAACACCATTGTGGTCTATTGCATTTACCTAACAAATCCCTTTTAGAATTCTGCATAAGTGAAAACTAGCAACTACACCCTGATCACAACATAAGTCATTCTAAAAGTTGAACAGAATAGAATTTGCATTAGAAATTAAAATTTAAACAAACAATGGGATTAAATAAGTAAATGTGGAATTAAAGTAGTAAGTTTGAAACTCAAGTATATTTTGGGAAGGGAAAAAGGAAGAATCAAGCAGATGACAGGCTGAGCGGCCAAGCTATAGTTGTAAGCCTGCAGTTTTTTACCTGCAGCTACTTTGAACTGATCCTCTGCTTGCTGGCGATACCTCCTATGCTCCAGAGAAGGCTCAGGTCAAACTGGCACCTGTCTCCTTTCCTCATAAAAACAATAAAGTTGGCTTATTTCAGGTCATTTCCCCAGTTTTCAGGATTGTGTTTAAAACTGCATCTGTCCTTACTTCTTTGCAATCAAGTAATTTAGAGAACTTAAGTTAGATTAGATATGTAAGTATTCAAAATAAATGTTCTGTAAAAAGGAAGTGACCAACAGCGTATTATTATTAAATATATTTTATGATACTTAATGATCCAAATACCAAGGTTACTGTGTAACTAAGTAGCATCAAACGATGTTAAAATGGCACCATCCTGTATCTGGAGAAGCATAATTTTATTTGTGTGTTATTTTAACAGGGAGATTAGAATTAATTTATATCTTCTAAATGGTAATTTTGATATGAGTAACGTATTGTAATATATAATAAACATTCCTTTTTCTTTAAATCACTTCAGTTAAAATTAAATACCAGAATAATTCTCAGATAGTTTTATCATTTGGTAACCAAACATGACTCATTTTTTGCTAGATAGATCAATTAAACATACAGTCAACTCTCAATCATTCAGACTAATGGAGGAAAGGATGGAACAAGCATTAAAATTTGTCTAGTCCCTATCTCCTCAAGCACTGCAAAGACAGCCTCACTCCAAAAAAAAAAAAAAAAAGGGTTCCCAGCTTAACTTTGTACATCATGTAGCCTTTGTTTCCAAGGAGTCAGTGCAATATGCTTAAACTGACAGGAAAGCTTCATGCTACCATAGTCTGCTCTTCTTTGTGTGCATTTTATAGTTGCTGCCTTAGCTTTGCTTTTATAGTATACAGTACACATGAAAAGTTGATAATGTTGCTGTTAAGATTCTGATGGCTCATAAAATCAGCTTTATATAAAACGCCTTATCGTTGAATTGCAATCTGTAGATAATTATTGCCTTTCAAAAGCATTACCTCATGGTACCAAATTGCTTTTTAAAAAACTTAGTGTAAAATTTCAATGAGAAAGTTTTTATCTTCGAGAGTCTTTCATAAAAATTATTCCAACTTTAAAATTCTAATGTGTGCAATATTTCTGAGTGAAGAGATGCTGAAGGAATTTATGTGTGAAAACATGTTGCATGTACATTATATGTCATTTTCTCTGCCAATTAGCTACACACATTATACTAGTATCCAGACACATGGATTCATGGTAATACATGTATCTGGAGAACTACAAGTTGAAATAAACACACCTGCCTTTTATTTCAATAGCTGCACATTCAAATGACACTGACATTTATTTGAATGTGACCTTCATACATGTGAGAGAACATTGCTTTCAGCATTTGGGTTTTTTGTTGTTGACGTTTCTGTTGTTGTTGATTTTTAAGTGAAAGGTAGATACAAATGTGAGGGCAATGCTTCTCTGGACAACTCTGCATGCAGAGAAAAGGAAATTCAAAGATAAAATCTGTCAAGTACACCTGAATGTTTTTGTCTTATGTGCTTTCTCTTGGTGGTATTTTAACTAGATACGTATTAAATGGAGTGATGCTGAAAGCCAAAGTAGTAAAACCATGAGACAACCTGGAGTTCAGCCTTCTTCCCTGTAACTTAAATAATGTGATTCTCTTTATTTCCAGAACAAAGTTGTTAGTGTTTCATTTGGAGACTCTAATTGTGTGTTTTGTATTGTTTTGTTTTCAAAAGGCTATTTCCTTAAAATGTATACCACAGTATACATCTGAGCTTTAAAAAAAATCATGCTTTCTCTTAGAAAAGGGAAGTATCTGTTGCAAAGCTCATTTTATATGCCATGTCATGGCTTGTCCACATCCCTTCCTAAATTAGTCCATATTTTTTATGCTTATTTTTACTTGTCATGAGCCAGAAAATAGGATCTCTTCATGAATCTTAACTTTGAATTTCCTACTTTTCATTGCATGCATATTATCAACTATTCATACTAGTTTTTAGCTCAGGCTCAGTTTGTATTTTGCATGTTAAAGCTATAAACATTATAGTAATGCTAGAAAGAACCTATGGCTATGGTTCTGCAATTGCCTAATTACTGAAATTAATAAATCAAGGCTGAATTTGCTTATGTAGACTTGTCTTTCTGCCTTAGGGAGTGAGCTACTTTATGTCCAAGGGTATCCTAGATGATTCGCCAAAGGAGATAGCAAAATTTATCTTCTGTACAAGAACACTAAATTGGAAAAAACTGAGAATCTACCTTGATGAAAGGTAAAGCAAAAATTAAATTTTCAACAGAAATGAGTTAAGTAATGTTTTTGCTAACTTTTATTTTAAAAGCTATAGTACATAGAATAATCTAGTTGCAAAATTAAGTAAAAACATAAAAAAAGATTACTATATCTTATAATTGATTTGACCTTTTCTTTCTCATGCTAATAAAAACTTGCCATAATGAAGGTAACAAATGACCACGTGTGGCCTGACATAATGCTTATAAACAGCTATAATAACAGCACTCAGGAGCTGAGGCAGAAGGATTTCACATCTGTGGCCAGCCAGTACCATAGCGTGAGACACTATTTCAGAAGCATGAATAGATGCAGAATCATAGATAGCCCTGCATCCCTGGCATTGCAAAATAAATTGAAGCATCTTGCAGCCATGACTTTTCTTAGTGGGTAGCCATGAGCTAAGTGTTTAGGTAACCAGAAGTTCTAAGTCCTGAAACTGCCCATTTAAAAATCTGTTGTAAAGACAAATTGTAAACTTCAAAACCTAGAAACTCTTAAGGTATGCATATAGTTACATAATGTTTGCACAGATAATTATGCACATGCTTAAAAATTCTGAAAAGGTGAAGCTGAAGAGATGCCTCACAGTCAAGAGCACTTGGTCCTCTTGCAGAGGATCCTAGTAAGGTTGCCAGCATCCACATGATGGCTCACAATCGTTTGTAACTCCAGTTCCAGGTTATTTGTCCTCTTCTGGCTCCAGTGGACACTGTATGGACATGGTGCACAGACAGGCCTGCAGACTAAACACCCATACATTTAAAAAAAGTCTAAAAAGATGACATTTAGTATTTAGTATTTCAATCATGCAGGTAGAGTTATGGACCATATGGCATTCTCATCTGGTGGTTATTCACTTGTGCCCTTATTAATTGCAGACATAACAATATTGAGAGAGCATCTACATCAGCATACTAGTCATTGAAAGAAGTCTCCTATACAAGGTGTTGTCCTTAACTGCTTTGTCTTTAAATGCTAGGGACCTAGAGACTGGTGCTTCTTCTGTAGATCTTTCTGTAAATATTTAGCTTTGCTGACCTTGTGCTCTCTGTTGCATTTGCTTATAACTTTGCCATTTGTGTTGTGCAAGTAGACATAGGCCACTATAAACAAAGCAGTATGGCCCTATTCCATTAAATCTTTTTACAAATACAAGCAGTGGGCCATAGTGTGCCTACTGGCTGTATTTGCATAACCCTGCCATGAGCAACTAGTCAAAATGAAAGCTATGATCATATAATCAAGTTTGAGTTTGTTAGCAGTTAAAGAATGTTGTTGCAAAGAGTCACTATATATTTAATGCTATAGGTTAAAATATATAGCATACATACATATGTTTATATAATGCATGATATTTATATAATTATAAACACTTAAATATATATCCATAGAATTATTATACCCATATATTGGGATGGTGAGCAGCCACTAAAAAGAATGAAGTGAATATTTCTAAAGACAAAACTGTGCACAATAAATTGTGTATCAGAAAGGAAGAGTGGATTATAATGCATGTGTAGTCTATGTGGGTGATTTTGAAGTCTACATTAATATCTCTTACCTCTGAAAATGTGTCTTTGTACAATACAGGCAGATTCCTTCTAATTTAAAGGGCATGGTCTCTAGTGCTGTTTGGACTGAGATCAAAAGGCACTTAGAAAGAAGCAGCTTTTCTTGGTTTCTCTGGCAGGGAGACTATTTGTGTGTAACCCAGACTGACCTTGAACTCATGATCCTCCCGCCTCAGCTTCATGAGTGCCACCACATCACAACAGCTGAACAGCACTTTTAATACCTCAATTTCATTTTATAAGAAGAATAATGTATTTCACTTTATCTTGTTTTAGCCTATTCATGAAGGAATTCGAAACAGTATAACTTTGTAAATAATCATATTTAATTACTTTAAAGGGTTAGGATAATATATACCTTATAGGGCTGACTGATATAGTAATCAATAATGAAATACTTTTATACAAAAATGGAAAATTATGATTTTTCAGTTGTTTTAGAAATATTAATTACAGCTGCACCTTTTTTTTCTCTTTCTGTAGGAGAGATGTCTTGGATGACCTTGTAACCTTGCATAATTTTAGGAATCAGTTCTTGCCAAATGCATTGAGAGAATTTTTTCGTCACATTCATGCTCCGGAAGAACGTGGGGAGTACCTTGAAACTCTCATAACAAAGTTCTCACATAGGTTCTGTGCTTGTAATCCTGACCTAATGCGAGAACTTGGCCTTAGTCCTGGTAAGAATATCTCTGTGTGTACACATGTGTGTACAGACATGCGTTTTACATTATCTTCCCAACTCCTACCACCTGCAGGAAAAATAATCATGACAGGAGGCCTTGTTTTTAACTTTGGGAAAAACACTTCCACAAATTGTAAATATTTGTTTACCTGTTGCCTCAGTGATGGCATGGATGGAGTACTCAAAAAGACATGTACTTCCCTTTGCACATAAAAAGTACACAGCTTTATGAAGACAGAATAACCATGTAAATTCTTTCAAGTTATTCTTACCTGTTATTTTTACCAGCCGATGTACATTTTTTGAAGCATTTAATAAACTGTACAATAGATACCAATATTTTCCCACTAAACTTTGTTTTACTGTAACTAGTGTTCACTATGCATGTACACATATGTGGGCAAGTTCTCACATTTCATGTGTGTACTTTCATTTTATAGATTTACTTGTATTTTTGTGTTTAAAAATGTGCTCATTAAACAATGATTGCAAAACAAAACATAGCTGTCATGTGAAATGTGCTGAACATGTTTCATAAGACATGTTTAACATAGCTTTCTTAAGACTTCAGGATTCTAAAATATAAACAGTATAGTACTGTGAATATCATGACAGTTGCTCCTGTTGTGATATTAAGCACCAAGTATTGCCCTGTGTTTATATGAAAAAAGAAACTACTCTGTTGCCTGTGCTTTCCCTAAAGATTGATTTTTGAAGTTCATAATTTAAAGTACATCTCTCAACTGGGAATAGTAATTTAACAATCTTAAAAATTCTTTACATTCTGCTTTTAGTGCCAAGATAATACATTTCATGTCCATAAAAATGCTTTCAAATTAAATTAGGTTTATAAAAAGCATTTTTTGTAAATATGTCTTGATTTTTTTTTTGAACAGGAAAGATAAGCTGGTGGTGGAATTTAGTTTAATTGCAGTTGAATGTAGATGTCCCATTTGAAAATGAAAATAAAGCAAATTCTGAAATGTTAAGTCTGGAATGTGTTTTTACTATAAACTCCTAAAGAATCCTGAAGTTCCTTTGAAGTAGAGAGAGTACCCATTTCATTATTAATCAGACTGGGTGAGTTACTTCAGTTTGCCTGATCTTAGGTAGTTTCCCAGGACAGAGCTTGGAAGAAAAGCCTAGACTCCCAGGGTGGGTTGGCTGCCCTGTGTGATTTGTGATCTGAACTTTTGTCTCCTTAGCACCAGTGGATATTTTGATCAAACTAATAATTGATGTTTCCTTTCCCTCCCAGATGCTGTCTATGTCCTGTGCTACTCTTTGATTCTACTTTCCATTGACCTCACTAGTCCTCATGTGAAGAATAAAATGTCAAAAAGAGAATTTATTCGAAATACCCGCCGCGCTGCTCAGAACATTAGTGAAGATTTTGTAGGACACCTTTATGACAACATCTACCTTATTGGCCACGTGGCTGCATAAAAGCACAACTGTTGGGACTTCAACTTTTTACTCCAGACTAAAGCTATCCACAAAAGGACTTAGCAGAAATGGGGTTGCATCAATGCTGGTCTCTCCAGCCTCTGTATACAGTCAAGCTTGAGTACACAGCCTCTTTTGGTTTCACTGTTTTTTAGTTTAGAAATTTCAGAACTAACTAACTAATTTTGATGAACTTTTCTTAATTTTGCTCATCATGTTTGCACAAAACAGCCACTGTATAACACAGCTATAGAGAATGTTAAACTGACATATACTCTAAGATGGAGTGTTTGTGCATTAGATTTGTCTGAAAACTATCCATTTCCATCCTTTAAAAAAATACCATGTAATGTATGCATATTTAACTAAAGAGATTTATAATCATAATTATTTTATTGTAAAGATTTTAACTAAAGGTTTTCCTTTTCTCTTGAACCGAGTTTGGAAATTTATTTGACTCTGATCTAAGTGTATTGTTGGCTTTGTCAAAGTTGGATCTGGCCCCAGAAACCAATACCAGCTTCCCATTTCTTTGAACTTTGAAAAGAGTGTTGATTTGTTACTATTTTAATATACTATGCAAAACTGGCCTTATTTGTATAACATATATCATTTGATTCATTTTTAAAACTTCTGGGTTAATAAAGTTTCGATACATCCTTCAAACGTTTAGAATATTAAAAGTGTCAGAATTTAAAAGTCACTCTTCATTAGAACTTGGGGAAGGTTTTACTTCCTTGTTTCTGAAATACTTGGTCTTAACTATTTTCCTACTCTCGATCTATCTTCAAAGTTAATTAATAAAGGGTATTATGCTGTGAATCACATTATACAGTCTTTACTTTTCAAATATGTTTCAAGGGCTTTCCATGTGCTGTGTACTATCCTGGGTTACAGATGCCTAGATATGAGTTCTGCATCCACATGCTTCTGTCAGAAGAGGAAACCTGGATTTTTGTTTTCTAGTTAGTTGTATTTTTTGGTGAATGATGCATTGACCTCTCTCTCTCTACCTCCCCCTCTTATAGATGTCTCTCTTACCATCTGCTGTCTTCCTTCCTTTCTTTTGTCCTCTTTTCTCAATTTGACTGTCTTTTTTAAAGCCTTATTTCCCTAATATTTTATTTTTGATTTTCACACTCTGCCTCCTTTATTTCAATATAATTTTCTTATGGAAATATTCAAACAGAAAATTGAAACATTTTGCAGAGAAAGCCTGCATACCCCACCCAGATTCTACAATTCTAGTTTCACTCTGTTCACCTCATCATGTATTTTTCCATCCCTCCATCTATCAACTTAATGATTTTAAACATATCAGATTAGCTTCAAAATATATACTCTTTGTTGTTAAACACTCACTTTTATATTTCACTGACTAGAAGTATGCATTTTTAACCTTTTTTCACTTTGAGGTAAGAGTTACATTGAAGGAATGTGAAAGTATTAAGTGACTCTTTACAAATGCTGGCCATGTACAAGTTAAATTGATGTGTCAGTTATATGGAGTGTCTTAGCTATAGTTAATATTATACCTCTTCCTGTGACAGATTCTCTACCCACAATCTTTGTGTTGTTGTGTCCCGCGTGATCGTCTCGCCAGCAAGAACGACACAGGACACTCGGATCCTTCTGCAGTAAAGCTTTAATGTGTCTTGAGAGAGAGAGCATAAGCTTACAGAGCGGAGACCCCGAGCCAAGAATCCCGTCCCCTAATAAAGGCTCATAAGCTCTGAGCAGTGCGTGTACAGCTGGGATAGGTGGATGACTCATCACCCTATATGACACCATGGAATAGGCGAGGCTAGGCAAGTGGAAAAACACTGGGCACATGCATACCAATGCTGTTTACTTGATCCGGCAGCGGATGTCAGCGCCATCTTGTAATGGCGAATGTGAGTGCGGCTCCTCACATTGTTGTAATAAAATTCACAGTCTTTTATTTTTAACAAGCATCTTTACTTAAAATGAGGTAAGAAAAATACTCTTTTGTGTTTACTGATAATATAAATTTAAATACTCTTATTATTTTGTGAAGATCCAAACTTTTTTTAACAGTGTTTTTCTTCTCAAGATGAGAACATCTATTGTAGTTGGGGTCAATTAACTATCATAGTTTTATTTGATTTTTTTGTTGTTGTTGTTGCTTTATTTTATTGAAAATAGATTCCTCTTTCGTATGATGCATCCTGACCACAGTCCTCTCAGCCTCCTGTCTCCCCTATATCCACTGCCCCCTTTTGAGCAGGCCTTCAAAAGATGACAGCCAAACAGCACAAAACAAGGTACAGTAAGTCAAGGCAAAAGCCCTGGAAAAGGTAACCCACAAGGAAGAAAAGAGTCTCAAGAGCAGGCGAAAGAGTCAGAGAGGGAGCCCATGCTCTACACTGTCTAGGTGGCCAGGACTGGAGACTGGATAGCCCAGAGACCTAGGTAGACCCAAACATGACTGGTTTTTAAAAATCAATGAAATGACTCCCAATGATATTCTGCTGTACTCATAGATGAGTGCCTTCCTTGTCCAATCTTTATCAGAGAGGCTTACTCCAGCATCAGTAGGAAGCAAGTTCCAAAACCCACAACCAGACATCATGCAGAGAGAGAGTAAATTTGAAGTCTCCATCAGGTCCCTCCCTTCAGAGCCAAAGCTGTTGCAGACACCAGGAGAACATGGCCCATTTAATCAACTAAGCCTACCTCAACTCACATGGGCTCACAGAGACTAAAATGGCAAACATGGGGCCTGCATGTGTCTACAACAGTTCCTCTGCATATATGTTATGGCTGTTAGCTAGGTGTTTTGTGGAACTCACACTTTTTCCTTAAAGATTTGTTTATTAATTTATTTATTTGTGGTATCCTGCCTGCATATATGCCTGCATGCCAGAAGAGGGCACCAGAGCTCATTACAGATGGTTGTGAGCCACCATGTGATTGCTAGGAATTGAACTCAGGACCTCTGGAAAAGCAGCCAGTGCTCTTAACCTCTGAGCCATATCTCCAGCCCAGGACTCATACTTTTATTTGAAAATACCTTGCTTTTTGAAGAAACTTTTGCTGAACATTCAATTCTGCTTTAACATCTTTCCCCTTTATGTCCCTCCCCCTTTGGGGGAATGATTTATTTTTGTCTTATGGTTCAGGGATGATAGTTTAGCATTGCAAGGAAGGCACGACAACTGGGACCAGTGTGGCCCAAGCTTTCAGAGGGGCTGGAACATACAGCATGCCCTCTTTACATTTCTGCAGATCAGAAAGCAAATCTCTGCAGAAGCAAGATTAGACTATAACATAAAAAAATGCTCCTAAGAATTCATTTCTGTCAGCCAGCCCCATTCCTTAAAAGTTCCACAGACTTGCAAAACAGCACCATCATCTGGGGACCATGTATTCCAGCAAATGAGCCAGGTGGGGACATTCAACAAACTGATATCCCTTTTGACCCCATAAAATGCTTCTAAAGTCCAAACATCAGTCTCTTCTAGACTTAAAGCAACCTATTTAATGATGGGCTTCTGGAAAATAAGTGGCAAACCACAAAGTGTTACATGTTTCAAATATGCAGTGCCATACAGAATCCCATTACAAAAGAGAGGAGTGTGGACAAAGCAAGAAAAGACTGGGACAAAGCAATGTCAAAACCCCACAGGAAAGAAAAAACAAACAAACAAACAAACAAACAAAAAAAAACTCCTTTGTCGGGGACCTAGAGCTCAATGATTTCATCATTTAGGCTCCAACAGACTTGTATAATCTTACTCCCCAGCTCTGCCACCTGCAGTACACACGACCTCCTTCTTAGAACAGCTACACACTCAGTCCTTTCAACTGTCCTTTGAAGACATCATTTTTCTGACATTTCCAGTTTCTGGAGCTCTCTATTGTAAGTTGCTGATAGATTTCAGCTTCATGCTTCATTCAGGAAACTCACTGCTACACTTTGCCTGGCCACAACAACTTTCTAGTACCTTGGCATAAGCCTCAGTGTTCCTGTAACTCCTGCCAACATTAATGTCAATAGTGACACCGAATCAATTGCCAGCTCAAGATATACCCTGGACCATTTGGAGCACAGGTGATGTAGTTTCTGTGTGCCATTCTGCCTGAAACTGGGAACTCACTTCTCCGTGCATCCCAGTTCTAGCATGTACCCTGGAGGTTCTCACTTACCTAGGCACTCTCAAGGTTTTCTATTTTTACAACCCAGGGATTTGACAGGTGATGTGCAGAATCTTCCTCTCAAGGACCATTCAGATTGTCATAGTGTGGTGACAATCACCATGTGCAGTTCCCAAAGTTTCTCTTTAATGAACCTAATTTCTTTAACCACTGAGGCCAACTTTTCCTTAGCCACTGTGTCCTCAATTTGGAACTCATTAATTCTTTTCTTGCTCAAATGTACATTTCCCACGTTTTCTGTTGTCTTTCACTGCAAATGTATTAAGAGCAGAGATCTATAACCATACCACAACCTAAATGTTGTGCTATCTTCAATTTTGCTCTGCCTAAAAACATAAGCCCACTATTTTAAGATCCATTCTCACCTATTTTAAAGACACAGAATTTGCCAGCTGCTTTTGCAGATTACCCCATGGATGGCTTGTGTTCCTGATTCTGTTGCCCGGAGAAACCCTATATACCCAGAATTTGCTGTGTGTGCTTTTGTCTGTCTGTATACTCTGGTCTTCCTCATTTCCCATAGAATAATGACCCATAAGCTCTAATTATTGCACTTTGGGGCTTCTCTAGTCTGTAGTTCCTAACTTTTCCACATTACTTCCACAAACCAACTCCACACTGAGGATCCATGTGGTTATATTTATACAACATCAGCTGCAGTTCTTGTCATCTATAAATACTTGTTACTTTCCTTGTTGCTGAACAAAACAACTCTGTATGTGTGTTCATGTGCATGCCTTGTCATGGTGTAGAGATCTGAGGTCCTGTGACCTCCCAACACACAAATAGGTAAAAACATTTAACAAAAATAATGGTGGGAGTCTAGAGAGATGGCTCCACAGTGAAGAGTACTGGCTGCTCTTCTGGAGGACCCAGGTTCAATTTCCAGCACCCACATAAAATGAAAAATTAAAATCGAGAAACAGAATTTTAAATTTTAGTAGAAACAGGAGCTAGGAAAAGAAAACCACAACTTACAAAGACTAGAGAAAATGGTATTGCAAGGGCTATGGAAGAAAAATGTCCAGAAGGGTACTGAGGGCTGGGGGTATAGCTCACTGAAGGAGAATTTCCTTTACTTGAGAGGCCATGGGTTTGATCTCCAGCACCTTCAATCCAAAGGAATATCTGAGCTTGACACTTACTGCATAATCTACACTTAAGTTATTCCATCCCTTTTCAGGATTCTTGTCTCTCCACCTGGGGCTGAATTCTATGAGGCTAGGAAGTCACAGTACTGCTAATGGATTTTATATTGTCACTAACCAATTATTCCCTCACCCAATATGTAATCTGACCTCTACTGAAACCCACAAGAGTGCTTCTTAGCCTGTCTACAGTTTCCTTCCCCCAATAAGGGGTTTGTTGTCTCAAGCCTACAATGAACCATATCAAGTGGGCAAATTCTTATATACAGTCAGCAATCATGTTGTCTATGATACAAGTCATATTTGGAAAGAAAAGGAAATGAAAGAAGAGAAGACAGAAAGCAGGGAAATGAAGAAAAATGATATAGAAGGAAATGATGAGAAATAAGAAAGGAAGAGAATGAGGCAAAGGAAAAGAGAAAGGAGGAGAGACAAAGAGGAGGAGGAAAGTGTTTAAAATATTTTTAGTCTCCTCCAAATTTGTCAGCCAAAGCTCTTTC